GGGGGGGGGGGGGGGGGGGGGGGGCATGGCACGGGTCAGCAAGGCAGCGCCACAACGGCCCGGCAAGGGAGCGGCGTCCAGCGGCGGCCAGCGGGGCGAGGAGAAGGGGCAGACAGGCCACCAAGGCCGCGAGCCGGCAGCCGCGCCTGAACGCACCCTTCCAGGGGACCTCGCGAGCCAGGCACTCCCACAGCATGACGGCCGCGCTGTAGATGTCCGCCGGCAGGAGGAGCTCCCGGTCCAGCGGCCGGTGGAGCTGGAACGCCACCAGGACCTCGGGCGCGGCGTAGCGCGCGGTCATGGCATTCAGCTCCGGCGCCGTGGCCACCAGGGCCGAGGACCGGTCGGTGCTCAGGTTCTGCGAGGTGCCCAGGTCGCCGAGGGCCACGCTCCAGGCCCCGGAGTCCAGGAGGCTGGCAAACACATTGGCCGGCTTCAGGTCCCGGTGGGCGATCCCATGCGCGTGCATGGCCTCCAGCCCGGAGGCCCACTGCTGGGCGATGTCCAGGATGGTAGCCTGGTCCAGGGGGACGTCCGAGTGCAGCAGCGTGGCCAGGTCCGTCTGGTACCGGTGCATGATGATGGCCGGCGGCTGGTCGCTGTAGCCGTACAGCCGGACGATGGCCGGGTGCTCGCGGAGGAGCCTGCGCCCCATGCAGGGGGGTCTGTCAGAGCCGTGCGTCGGGTTGGCGCGGGCGCGGGCGCGGGGGCAGGCCAATGGGCGTACCACATGAGGGCGATTTCATTTTGGAAGGCCGCAAGCTGCCACGGCTCCGCCGCATCGACTGGGCCCCGGACGGCCCAATGCCAGGCGAGGGGTGTCACGTGTGTGTGGGGAGCCCAAGCGAGCGAGCGGGGGGAAAGTGGGGGGAAGAGGAAGTGCAGGAGGAAATGGGAGTTGGAAGAAATGAAAGCAGGGGGAGGTGAGGATGATAAGAAATGACAATCAGAGGAGATTTAAGACAAAATGAAAGTGAAATGAGGATGAAATGTGAAATGACAAAGAGACAGCACGCCGGTCGACAAACAAAAAAGAAAAAGAAAAAGGCCTGCACCCGAAGGACGTACCCCTCATCTGCTTGATGGCCACGGTGTCCGGGCAGCCGAGGCGCGCCGCCAGCCCGGTGCCGATGGGCCGGGCGGCGAAGACCGACGCCTGGGCACCGGCCCCGAGGGCCGGGCCGTCGAGCGGCTGGAAATCCAGCAGCACATCGACCAGGATCGCCCCGGGGAGGGAGATCTCGACGATCGTATTGAGCACGGTGGAGTTCTCGTCCGGCTCCCCGCCGGCCGGGGGCTTCGGGCCGCGGCGCAAGCGCAGCATCAGGAAGATGGCCAGGCCCAGCAGCAGCAGCAGCAGCAGCCCCAGGCCGAGGCCCAGGCCGAGGGCTGGCCATGGAGGGCGACCGGGCAGCACGTTAGTCCACAGCCAAAGCACAGCGGGGCAGGAGGAAGGGGGGCGCGGGCGCCGGCACGCACCGAGGCCCCGCCGGCCGGGGGAGCCGCCGGCGGACCCGGAGCAGTCCACCCGCTCCGGGCCGGTGCACGTGCCGGCAGGGCAGTCCGGGTGGCAGGCGGCGCAGCCCGGCGCCAGGGCCGCCCGATCGGCGAAGGTGCCCGCCGGGCAGTCCGCCACGCAGGAGGCCCCGTTCAGGAGGAAAAGCCCCGCGACGCACGCGTGGCAGGCGGCCGGCGTCGGGCACTCCAGGCGGCCATCCGGCGCCAGGGTGCACCCCGGGGTGGCCGGCCCGGCGGCGCACCGCTCGCAGTCCTGCCCGCAGGCAAGGCACACCTGCTCCACCGGCGACATGGCCAGCCCGGCCGGCGGGCAGGCCTCGACACAGGCCCCGGTGTCCGAGCGCAGCCAGTGCCCGGGGCCGGCGCACTTGGTGCAACGATCCGCCCGCTCGTGGCAGCCGGCGCACGCCGGCGCGCAAGGCTGGCAGACGCCCCCCTGGGCGGCCTCGCCCCGGGGGAGGAACTCCCCCGGCGGGCAGGCCTCCCCGCAAGTGCCCCCCACCGGCGACAGGAGCAGGGCCCCCTGGCAGCTGGTGCACTGAGCCACACAGCCATCCGGCCGGCTGGCCAGGTGCCGGCACGTGGCGCAGCCCGCCGGGCAGGGCAAGCACCGGCCCGCCGGGCCGCAGGCGAAGCTCCCCCCGGCGCAGGCCGCCACGCACTGGCCATCCTGCAGGAGCATGTCCCCCATGCAGGCCGTGCATTGGCCGGGGCCCGGGCCGCTGCACTGCCAGCATGATGCCGAGCAGGGCTGGCAGACCGGGCCATCGTGGCCGGGCTGCTGCCGGGCATACTGCCCGGCCGGGCAGGCGCCCAGGCATTCGCCGGCCGGCACGAGCACCCGGTCCGCCGGGCAGGCCGTGCACTGGTCGCGCCCCGGCCCGGAGCACCGGCCGCAGTACGGGCTGCAGGGAAGGCAGAGGGCCCCGCCGGCGGCGAAGTGCGTGCCGGGGCAGGCGGCCACGCAGCTGGTGTCCAGCATGAGCGGCGTGCCCGGGGCGCATGACAGGCAGTGCTCGGGCGCCGGGCCGAAGCATGTGGCGCA